TCAATAGAAATAGCCAAATGGAGGAGTCAGACTTCTGCTCAAAATGTGTTCTTTTGCCACTGGGACTTGAGGCTGAAAGTATTGAAGGCTCTAAATATTGAACATGTCATGGTCATGATAAAAGGGCTCTCTTCAGAAGGGACCACTTTCTCAGAACCTGAATCCATTTTCTCTGGGTACTTGTTTTTTAACCAGTCCCCTTCATCAGAAAAACTCTGCCTGGGAGCTCTCAGATGTCTTCTGATCTGCATTGTCCCACTGGAGGAGGAGCTGTGGTCCATAAGATGGAATTTGGTCTTTATGTAGCAGTGATGGAAACCATTATTTCTTCTGAAAATGATGACTCTGCCTTGCAATTGGCATTGGAAATGGACTGTCCCTGACTTCAAAAGACCAAGAGGATCTCTTATCAAATATCTTCAAAAGCTGTGAAAGGAAGACTGGGAAATGCCAGCCAATTTCCTCTGTTTTTGTTGTAACTTGTTTATGTTTTTCAAGTTCCACTTTGGAAAAGCAGTTGGCTTGAATTAATATGCAGAGCGTCTGTTTTTTTGCTGTTTTTGTGTGTGTGTACTTTATTTGATTCCCGGAGGTTGCCTCACACTTGTTTTCTCAGAAAGGATTGAACTGTTTATTGATCTTTGCTATTGTTCTGCATTAGTGTGCTTGTCTGATGCAAGTTCTCATTTCTCGCTTTGGTGCAAATGGGGGCTCAATTAAATGAGAAAAAAGGCAAGCCCACCCCTTATATTTCCTATATTGAGTAAAAACAACAGCACTGACTCAGAATTCAACAGAAAACTGAAAATGGTTGTGATATAACAGGGTAAGGTTTACCTGGATGGGTGAGGGAGGAAGGGAGTGTGTATCTTGACTCATCCCTACACTGCATCATCTGCCACGTCTCTTCACTGGAGAGGATAACCCAGGGTGGGCTGAGGATGGGCAGGATGAGGTTGCCCAGGGGAAGGAAGGAATAAGCATAAGGTCACAACTCTCTTGTTCTCTGTTAAGGCCACACACTTTTTGGAAAGTCTTGGAGAAGTTGTGTTGCTGCCATGGTCTTTATGACCTAAGGACCATCTTCATCCAGGGGAAAGGTGAGAGGTCTGACCTTCTGGCTAGAGTAACCAAAGGGGAGTTACACAGGAAAAAAAAAGAAAAAAAAGAAATGCTGTCTGAAGGAGTGAGTACATGGCTCTTCACCCTTCATGGGAGAGAATCAAGCCCTGAAGGATGCATATTCTGGGCATCCAGGGATGTATAAGTGGATGAGACGGAGACTGGGTCTGTCCTCTAGGAGACATCGGTGGGACACCAAAATACTGGTGTAAGTCTCTGCACAGCAAGACCTGCCAACCAGATCAGGCTGTCTAGACGCTGAATAGAGCTGAATAATAAATGAGATAACAAACCAGACAAATGGGAATAATGAAGAGATAGGAGGGAGCAGGGTGTTAAGAGAGAGATCCTAGGAATGACTCTGGTGAAGCAATTGCTTTTCAGTATGTCTAAATGCTCAAGGTCTTGTTCTTCCTGATGATAGTGTAGAGGGCTTCTCTTATCACTGCCCTCCCCCCTTATAATTAATTCTAAGAAGTATAACTTTTGCAGTTTTTCACCATTTATCCTATTTTAGGCTGCTATTTTTGGAGACTTCCTCAATCACAACTGACTCGGAAGGGTTACTCCCTCTTAACTTCTTCCTTAGCTTTCTGGGCCAACCACACCTGTGAATGGCATTGTAGTGATATCAGATCTTCAGAGGGGTAAAATAAAGCGACAAAGAAAGTAGTGTTCCCCACTCCAGGCTCACCCCACAGTCTTTCCCAACAGTTTCTTCATCCAAGATCTCCTGTCTCTGTGATGCTGTCATGGTGGGATGCTCTTCCTCCTTGGATTTTGTGCTACCTTCCTTTTGGGGGATGAAAGAGAAGACCCAGACACAGAACTGAGGCTCAGAAATGCCATGTGTACATCCCTTGGTTCACTCTGATGGAGCAAATCAGGCTGAGGTGGTGGAGAAAGGAATCCTCCAAGACTGGGTTTTATTGTCAAGCAAAAGGGCAGGCCTTGTCCCCTCACCCCAAACAGGGACATAAACATCCCTGTGAAGCCATGAACCTGAAGACAACGCTATTTCATCTGTTTTGGGACCATGCACATATTCAAAATATTTTAATATTTTTCCTTCTAGAAGGGCTTAACCACACTTGGTAAAAGTACTTGTATGGGTCTGAATTATTTGCTCTAACAACAGGTTTTCTTCTCTTGGGGAGACAAATGAAAAAAAAATCAAATTAAAAAATCAAATCTTTCAAGAAAGTCTTCAAATTAAGGCATTCCTTGTGGTTATAGCTGTTTGTCAAAGGGCGATGCCCTGTGGTCACCTGCCACGTGCTGTGAGGACCAAGAGTATGGAAAGCATGGCTGGGTAGACTTCAAGGCTTCTGTTTCTAAAACACCAAATTATCACCAAATTTCCACTGGCGGTTGGGATACTAAGACTCACGAGGATGTGTATGGTTACCCATCTCGCAGGCTGTGTCTGGATTTGTCTGTTAAAGTGGCAGGTTACAGACACAGGCACAGAAACTTGGTTTAGCAGTACAGCTGTAGGTATGGAGGGTGGTTGGTTGGTCATTCATACACACAGAATGCACACAACCACTTCATGACATCCACAGCTTTTTAAATGTTCTTTTCCAGAATCAGGATTTGTACCCCTAAAGCTTTCAGTTAGAGAATTCAGCTTTTTGATGAAAAAAAAATCCCCTCCTCCCCCCAGCCCCTTTCTGGGGCCTTTGTAAGATAAACAAATAAACACAAACATACTGAAAAAAACACTGTAATGAAACCCTTTCACCAATAAAACAACAAAAGCATTCATTAGAACACATCCACACATTTGCCAAGGAAAATGTCACTTAAAATGCCAGTTTATTTCTGTCAAAATTTTTAGGAGGGAGCAAAAATCAACTCTTTGACTAGTGCTGTCCAAAGCTCAAAGCAAAAGAGGTTGAAAGCCCACAGGAAACCTTCAGAGATAAAGGTCGCCCAGACCTCCCATGAAGGGAATCAAGTTTCAAGTAGGTACAGGATTTATGGTGCTCTGCACTTTAGCAAGGATTAAGTAAATGTCTTTCTCAGTCCACCCAATAGCTTGCACTATTCTCTGCAGAATACTGATGCTTTTATACTGTACGTTTCTGGTGTGATTTCCAAAATCCAAACTTAAATTGCATTTCTTAAGATTGGTAATGAAAGAACACTTCAATTTTCCTGGGGGGAAAAAATAACAACAAATCAAAAAAACCCACCACCCACCAAAACACCCCAAACCAAAATCAACCAACCAATCAAAAAAAAACAAACAACATCAAAACAAATGTCAAAACCAACAAAAAAAGCCCACACCAACTCTGCAAAGGATGAGCATAGGGTCTGCTTATGGACATCCCGTTGCCTGTGAACCAGCACTGTCCTGTCCCTGCTAACCTTGGGGGAATGCATGCATAAGGGCTGGTTTATTTGCTTTCCTTGCAGTCATTTCAAGGACAGCTCTGGGACTTCCAGCAGAGTGGCATTGGCCTCCTGGTACCTCAGCCTGAGCACTGCTGCTTTGATATATCACTATTTTAACTCAGCAGCCTTCTGGTGTGGTGAAGCATGGAAGAAGGGCAGGTTTTCTAAGAGTCACGTGGAAGAAAGTTTTAATATGGGATGGATCCTGGCTCCCTGACAAGGTGCAAGTTTTGTGGGCAGTAAAGACGCCCAGTACAGCAAGGAATTACCAACAGAATGGGGAATTGTGTTATACACGGTTAAAATTTAGAGAATGTTGCCTAAGTTTCAGTCCAGGAGATTTTACATGTGGCTGTCACTGATCCATCCAAGTTGACTCAAGCACCCTGAAGGGTGCACTTATCAGGGTAAAAGCTCCAATGTACAAAAATGTACCCTAAAGGGGTACCAATATATCCAAAATGGGTACAGGCATGTTCACAACAACCTTTGGAGCATCCTCCAACCCTTGTCTCTTCTGCAGTGCATCAGATGAGCCAGGCTGCAGCTGCTCCTCCAGAGCTTTTTGTTGAGGTCCTGGTTGTGCTTTTCCCCCAGTTTTTTATTTAGACTTTCATCCTCCAAGGCCACCACAAATCACAAAGTCTCCTTCACAAGCAAGCAAACTGAGGTGGGAGATCCCAGCAATGACAGGGGTGATTTCTGTTCCCTTCTCCTGCCAGGACTCCACCCAGAGCACCTTTTCCTTGGGCACTCCCTGGAGCAATTGAGCTTTAACTGTTTTTTTTTTTTTTTCATTTTTCCCTCTTCCTCTAGCTTTTCCCCTTCTTAGGAAGGGTTATTTGGCTTTTGTGGGGCAGCCTGAGCCTTTTTGTAGAAGGAAAGCCAGAAGAAGAGCGGCTGCAAGCAGACCCAAGGGATGAGTCCAAGGGGGGATCAAGCATATATAATTCCCCACTTCAGATATTCTCCATCTTCCAGTTATTTTCAGTAGTCTGCCTATCTAGTAGCTCCCACGGGATCTCTCTTCTTAGCACTAGTTTCCTAAGGTATAAGGGCAGCATTCTCAAGTGGAGATACAACCTCTTAAGCATTCATATTTAATAACAATAATTTTTAACTCCATTATAAGATGCTGGAAGATGGATTCTCTTTATCAAATAAGAGGAAGAGGTTTAGTTGGGGCAGACTCCAGGAGGATGTCTGGGTGACTGTTAGTCAGAGATCTGAGATGTGCTGACATGTGTATCCTACAGCTTCAGCTTTAACCTCTGTCCTCATGAAGCCAGCTGGGAGATGAAGCGATGAGGCTGGAATTAGATGAGGCTGGAATTAACCTTTCCCTGCTGCAGGACGCCCATAGCGATCTGCTTACAGGGAAGTTTTCTTTCTTTTTTTTTTTTTTTTTTTTTTTTTCTTTCTTTTTTAATTAGAGTGATTTCATGCAGCTGTTGGTATCTTCCTGCTCCTCCTGTTAACACAAGACTTGTAAGGAGGGTCTCTTTTCAAGAAGGCAGCTGTTTTTCCTCATTCTTTCAATTAATTAGGATGTGAGCTTCCACTACAAAAAAACAACAGAAGTTACATTGGGTTCCAGGTTGAGGAGTCATCTGAATTAGAGGTCTACAGGGAAAATAAATGATGCTTATATCCTGTTTAAGAGTGAGGATTTACGTGCTGCAACCTCGTTGGATGTTGAAGCAGTTTATTACACTCAAAGAATGTGTTGTTTACCAGTTTATCCACATTCACAGATGTGGTTGTGGCACTGGCTTGGGCACCTTTCATCCTTGGAGGTAAGCACCTGAAACAGGAGTGGGATCTATCCATCCCCATAGACATGTTTTTGGTATCTGAGTATGAACCTAGGGCGATGGGTAGTAAAAACAGACATAAAGCTACATCATTACTTTCTTCCTTTATTTTAAAATCATGTAAACTCCTTTTGATTGTCTTCTGCAGTAGTGTTAGCAATAGTGCAGCGCTCCAGACCTTGCAGGTCCCCTTAGGACCCCATCTGATAGAGAATGGTGATAGCAGCAACAAGGAAAGCATCCCCTTCGTGGCTTTATACCTTTTTACAGCCAGTTAAAAAATGCAAGTACAGGGCATGCGCACCTGGACCATATTTTAAACTCAGAATGCACCCTGAGCTCAAGGACTAATTCACCTTCTATCACCTGTTGGGGTAAGTGGGAGCAGAAGGTGTTTCATGCCCCCAGACAACATCAAGTTTTAAATATTGCCTCGTGAAATCTGAGAATGGGGAAAGTGAGGCAGGAATCCTGTGGGTGATGGTTCCAGAAAATTCTGATGCAATTTGTTAACGTTTGCTGTTTGTCTTCAGTCCTGGGGCTCTTGTACAGGTTTTGTTTTTATTTGTGAAGAAATGGGAATTTCTCAGGGGAAAATAACAATGAAACAAATGCAAGGCTGACTGCAAAATCTACTGAAGTCAAAGTTTGAATTACTTTAAAGTCTGACTGTTGTGGGCAGAGAACACAGGTGATTTTTCAGTGTTTAATGGTTTCAAGACCATCTTTTACCCATTGTTTACCAACTGTGCTGTGAGCAGAGATTGAGGATCTGTGGGAAAAGAGGAGGGAACCCTGCCTTTACCTAGCATCTGCCCTGGCCCAGGTCCTACTCTTCTTTTTGACATAGTTGCATATCCAGTGCTCTTGTTTGTCTGGAGCTTTTGTGTCCTTTAGGGCATTCACAGCTGTGGATTTACCCTGTAGTCTCTGGCATTTTGGCCCCCCATCAGCAATACCTAGTCCAGGAGATTGTGTGATGCAGCCATGGACCCCATTCATATTTCTGTGCCCTTTCTTTCCCACGTGCATGTGGTTTTTGGAAATACTCTTGCTGGCACATTTTAGCTGAGTGACTGCTTCTGAAAATTGTTCCCATTGTGAAAATCCAGGGTAAATTTAGAAATGTAGATGGCATTATTGTCATTGCACGAAGAAACACTTGACCACTGCAGAAAAGTGGCCTGTGGGAGCTGCACTTTAAAGCTGAAAATGGATTGTGAAGGTCCAGATTTCTGCACAAGAAAAGAAAATGCTACAATGACAAGTTCTTCTCTATAAAGACTCAGGCAGGAAGGTGAGAGCTCTTTGCAGCCAGCTCTGCACCTCCCAAACCACCATAAAGGCAGTGCTCCATCTCTGTCAATGGACAAGGCTTTGCTGGGAAGGGAAGCACATTTCCTTAGGGAGCAATCTCTAGGAGTGATTAGATAGTGCCTATGGGTGGGTAGGCAAGCTCGGGGTCATGGTTCATGGAGGACCTTGGTGTGGGTTATTATTGCAAATACCCTGCTGGCAGCAAATCACTCAAACTACAGCTTTCCCTGGGGAACACAGAGGTGTTTCACTCAAAGCCTCTGTCCTGATCCACTAGGTGAAAAGGTTTGGACTCGTGAGGCTTGCAGGTATCCCTGCAACAGTGATTAATGTAGATTTTGGCTTTCAGGTCATTTTGAAGGACACCAGGCTTGCTGTGTAGAGCACTATGGCATCTGCTGTGCCTGACATGTCAGGAGTGCAGAAGGACAGGAGCTGGATGTCCATCTAGCAGGGACTCCCTTGGAAAGGGGGATAAGGGTTACCTCTGGGATCCTTGAGGAAAGATATTGGCTCTCTAAAACTGCCAAAATCAAGCTACAAATTTAAGTGCTCTATCCTCTAGGGAAGAAGGTGTTGGAATGATTCACGCTACTTAATAAATAAATGGAAGATCTCTAATAGTGTGTGCAATGAGAATAAGATCCAGTGGAGACAGGGCAGGACAGGCACCTTCTGCAATCTTTGTTTTCTTTAAGGCTGGTACCTAAGGCTGGTTACCCCTCTGCAGGGTGGTTTGGAAGCTGAGACCATCACTTTAACGCAGGACTTGCTCAAGAGGAGATAACTTGGCTGCACACTCCTCCAGATCTCCTTCTTAATGCAATTGGTTTTCGAAAGCTCTCCTCCTCCTCCTCCTCCCCACCCAGCCTGATGGGGTTAAACACCTCTGAGGAGGCTGGAGGAAGGAATGTTTTTAATCTCCCCAATTTATTAAAATCGTCTAAAGATAGCCAGCTGCAACAGATAAAACTGCTGCCCTCTGCACTTCGGAAAGATCCTCCCCGAATCCGCTCTGCGCAGAAAACATTGGCAATGGCTTAGTGACCTGAGGGACATGGTGGTACCTGCCTGCCTGTCAATGGCCAGGGCTGAATTTGGCCAAATTTCCAGCAGGGCTGCCTTCTCCTGGCTCGTGCATCCCCCTCACTGCTTTGCTCATGGAGAGAGATATCGAGGGGGCAGTGGAGGTAGGCACCGAGCTCGCTGGGAAAGCTGCTCCCAGAAAGGTTTCGAGCCTGGGGTGATAACATAAAGAGGAAGAAATGGGGGGAAAAAAAAAGTACTGGCAAAGAGAGACAGAGGGCAGAGGAAGGATTTTTTTTCCTGAGGGGATTTAGTGCTTTTGGTTTCACTTGCATCAAAATCCTGTAAAGGGCTGGAGAAGGTGGGGATCGCAGAGAAGAGGTTTGGGGATGTGGGGATAGGGCACGCGAGCCCAGTGCTGGCACCAGGCTTGGATTAAAGCTCTGAAAAGATCTGCTTTCAGTCCTACCTTTTTCCACTACTTCTTTTTATACATATGTGTATGTACATGTATATTTATATATGCACACACTCAAATGAGTGCATTTGTGTGCGTGCATTCCTTTGGGTTTTCTACCCAAGATTTGCTGATCTTAAAGACAATGAAGATATTCAGAAGGATTTTTCTGTCCTTCTTCCCCTGCCACAAGTAGATATTAATCATGCTTTGCTCTTCTCCTCCCAGCTGCACTCTCAGGACCACCGGATGAGCTGTGGCCAATGCAGTGCTGCAAAACCCCTTCCTTCAAGCTTTCTGTCCCAGGCCGGAGGACGAGCCAAAAGCAGCATCTGAATTCCTGCCCTGCACCTCTCCTGCCACGTAACAAATGGTTGTGACAGGGCAGAGTGGAGATCTCTGCCCTCCAGGCCAAGCCAGGGCTCCTCGGGACGTGACAGCTTTGATTTGTGTCTGTGCAGGACCCACCGGAGACAAAAGACAGCGTCAAGAGTAATTGAATGGACGTGGCAGGCAGACCCAGCAGTGCTCTTATCAGCTGGGGGAGGCAGAGCAGATCCGAGGAGCAGAACAGGCCAGGTACCAGGAACCAGATCTTAGGGTTGCATTCCTCACATAAGTGGAATTTCCCGCGGTCCCCGTTAAGTTCTCTTTTGTAAATTGAAAAATCTAAAATCTGGAAAGAAAAAAAAAAAAAGAGCCTTACTGAAAAAAAAGTAATTAATTTCCTGTGCTGTCTTAATCTATAAAGTAATATAATAAAAAGAAACCCTCATCCCAAGCTAGAGGGAGTGTATTGTTTAAACCTCAAGAGAGGCAAAGTTTAATTTAATTTCACAGGTAGCTATTTTGCAAAGCCTCTAAGGGAGGAAACTCTTCCAATGCCACCGCTCCAAGAATTTGGCACAATATAATTTATATTGCCATTGTAGTGAGAGGCTTCGTTGTGTTGTGCACGTGTGGGCACCCCCACGTACCCACAGAAAAACCCTTCTGTGAACTTCTAATGTAATGATGCAAAGGCAACAGGCAAAGTGGAGAAGAAGAGAGGTAGAGGTGGCCAAAGCCTCAGTGAAGGTCTGTGATGAGCCAAGAGCAGGATTCCTGGTGTCCCAAGACCATGTCCTGGTTGCTTCTTTAGGATCACGGTGCCCTCTTGTCTTTTTTATTTATTTATTTTTATGTGTATTGGGAGAGAAACAGTCTCTAGAGGAATGCTTTGTGGTTTCTCTCTTTTCACTGAAATTAACCCTACACATAAAGCACATACTTTCTCCTGATGGCCTGACTGAATGGTACAACCACATTGAGGTTGTAAAACCTCTTCCCCTTGTTGATCCCACCAAAAAACTTTGCTGTGGAGGAGCAGAGCAGTAAGAAGGGGGACCTCCAGGTACCATTCACCCTGGTTTCAGACTTGATAGAAGTTCCAGTGAATACCAAGAGCTTTCAGTTTGCATAGCCAGAAAATGCCAATAACCCCACAGGCATCCTAAAAAGCCCCAAGTGGTCCAAACCTTTTTGGCAGCAGTTTACCTTCACTAACTCCCCTGGGCTCTGATCTGGCTTTATCCCAAAGTGAGAAGAAGAGACCTTTCCCCATAATATTCCCCCCCACTCACTGATCAGACCTGCCATACATCACACACAGAGAGACAGGCTTGCAGAACTGGCTCCTTCCTCCTTTTCTCCCATTATTATTGCATTATTTTCCCTCTGACACCCCAGTAGCCAGATGCAGCAGCCTGGGTGAGCTGTGATTTCCAGCCTGTTTGCATGTTAACGATGATGGCTGATGAAGGGATAGAGTCTGACGTGCCATTTATCTAAATTCTGATCTCACGTAGCCTCACAAAAAGGCATATTTCTTAGGGACAAGCTGTTTCCTGCAGCCTGGTGCCCAGAGACCAGGCACTGCCCTCCCTGTTACACAGCCCTGCAATGTGCTCTTGGAGCAAGTTTCACAGGAGCTTCTTGCCAAGATCCGTGCTATGATCCTGCTGGCTAATTTCAATCAGGGAGGGACAGTGAAGCCCACATGGGTCACTCCTCTGGAGAAGAAAGACCCTAAGGGACTGGAGTTTAATGTCTCAAGGGCATCTGCTTAGCTCTGCTAATCCCTTTGCAGTTCAACAGCTGTCCCGCGGCACTTTGCCACCTGTGAGCTTGTTGAGTGCAAAAGTCCTTTGCTTTGCAGCTAGCTTTGCAAAATCGACGTTATTAGGATTTCAAAAAGTTGTTCCTGGTCCAAGATAAACAGAGAAACCGAAGCAGCCTGTGAGACCAGTCTCCTGAAGGGAGAGACTTGAGAGGGTAGATTAGAAAATAAAGGGAGAAAGAAATATATATATAAATCCTGGCCAAAATATGACTAAGGCGAAGATAGGATAACGGCTTTCAGTTCTTTGAAGACCGTAAACACCACAATGTGAGAGCAGATACAGTTCAACGAGATGGATGAGGCTGAGCGGAGAAAAACATTTGCTGTGTGTTAGGAGACTGATTTGAGGCCGCTGCAGATGTTGTGCAGGATGGGGAGCAGAAGTTTTGTGGCTGCCATCCATTTAACGTGGGCAGGCCCATGCATTGGGAACGTGCCCGGATGGTGTGGAGGTGTCAGGCTGACCTAAAATCGGGTGGGAGAAGCCAGTGAAAGGCAGGGGTTGTTCCTCTGATTTTCATTTGGGTTCAGAAAGCGGGGTTTTGGATAACCAGTTACACCAGTGTTGTGTCTCATTTCTCTACGTGTCCAAGGGTGACTGCTTTTCCTGTCTCCTGCTTACTATTTGCTTGCTTTACAATGACTTTGGCTCTTGCTTTTTTGCAGAGAATGGACCCAATATGTTTTTTTTGTCCTCTGAGGGCTTCCAAAGAAGATAAAATATGTATTCTGCTTGGTGATTATGGAGACAAGCTCACCATGGTCACTCTTTCCCAGTCAGTAACCTCTCTGACACAGAATCATAGAATAATTTGGGTTGAAAAAGGCTTCATCTATCTCAGCCAGTACATCTTTGTGTCTCTGTTACAAGATGGCTTTCATTCTCCATGGTGATCCATAGAAGTCACTGGTTCTGGCACAGCCATTTTGGATACCCTTTTGTGGTCTCATGCCCCCATCTTCCTCCTCCTATGGGTTAATGTTGAATTGCAGCCTGTGCTATACCCATGTCCCACCAACCTAGATGATTTTTTCAAGACACAAAAACTATGCTACGGGGCTGAGAGGCAAAAAGAGGCTGTGAAACCACTTCTCCAAATAAAATCCATCCATGTTTAAAAGAACCTGGCCTTCTAGATTCGAGGTCTCTGAATGCTCAGGGTGGAACCGGTGCAGCCCTGGCAGAGGACCAGTCCTTGTAAAATAATGGTTACGTGACAAAACAATCCCAAAACTTTAATCGGACCTTAATTAAGAGGTGTGGTGCCTCAGAACCAAAGGAGCACTTTGCATTTAAATCCTTTGGTGCGCTGCACCAAGGAATTGTCCTTCTATCTGCACTCCCTGGGTGTCACCTCCTTCCAAGGAGGCTCTCAAACAATACTGAGGCCAATGTGACAGCACATTTAAATAACACGGTTAAAATAGGGCCGCTGAGAGATCTTGTTTCTGCTTTTCAGCCCTCCCAAATCAAATAAAATGATTTTGACACAGAAAAAAAACAAAACAAAACAAAAAAAAACAACAACACAGAATGAAACAAAGCAAAACCCACAACCACAGACCAACCCTCCCGGATTTCCATTCTTTAAAGAAAGTCACCTGGGAGAATCTGTGAAACTGACTTCTCTGACAAATTTGCAGTCTAAGCTCAGGCGTCTGGGAGCAGTTTCACCGTGAGAATATTGAAGTGAAAATTGTTTCATCAAGGAAGCCAATGTAATACTGTAGGAAATAGAAGAATTGGTATTGCTAAGTCTTTCAATTTGATCATGAGTATGCTTTTTGTGGTAAAGCTTCAGCTGCTGCAATAATGGTGTGTTGCTGTATGCCTAGAATTGCCTTGCAGTTGTAGCACACTTGATTACAGAGAAAAACAGAGAAATGTGACAGCTTTACAGCCAGAAGGTAAATAAATGTCTTGGGCATGGTCTTAGCAATCTCCTTAAAATAGGCAGCGGTGAAACTTAGACTGGGGGTAGAGGAGGTGCTCTACATTGCAGATGGGGCTTCTTCCAGCATCACAGTGCTATCTCAAACCCCAACCAGAGGATTTTCCAACAGCTATCAGTCTAGGCATAAATATTTGCTTGTTAGCTGCCAACCTTCTTATCCTAAAGGAAAGTAAATTGTCCAGTGGAGAAGAAGGAAGGATGGAGAACTCCAAGCTGTTTAAGAAGCTGGACTTCTCCCTGTATGTTATGCTCCTGTGATGTTCACCTGATGGTTGTATCCCATGGGAGCATGGAGCAGAGCTATTGGTACCCTTTCAACAAGGCATGAGGAGAGAGCTGGAGACAAATTTTGCCGAAACAGAATATGTGGGGAGCCCTCAGCAGAGCAAGATGTTCAGAACAAGGCAACTCAATAAGGGGGCGTCCCAGATCAGTCTGAGGCAGGGGAAGATTAGAGGATTAGAGGCAGAGAGAATTTATTCTCACTTTTTTTTTTTTTTTTTTCCCTATGTTATTGCAGGGAACAAGGCTCTGCACCTCAGGGGAGCAAGAGCTGGGGCCACTTGAGTGCCTTCTGCTGCTGAACAGATCCTGGAGGAGCCATGTCCTCTCCTCGATGCTGACAGAGTTGTGAATTAGGGGCTGTCTGCTGATGTGAAGCAAAGGCTAGAATAGATTTTCCTTCTCTGCAATGGTGTTAGCAAACTGTTTCTACTTCTTCAGTCTTGGAAGAGAGCTGCAGCAACTGCCCTCCCTGAGAGCAGCTTTCCATATCTTGGGATAATGCAGTGCAATTCGGACAGCGTGGGAAAATCCTCTGAGCTACCCCAGAGAGACGAGGAGAAGATAGCTGGGAGGAGGACGTGGGCCTCCCTTTACAGGAGGTCTTTGAGGGCAGGTTACACAAACAGCTGTCAGCGGGGCCATCAGGAGAGCTGATCCTGCCCTGGGGGGACGTAATGGACACGGTGACCTTTCCAGGTCCCTTCCCACCCTCTGAGGTTGTGGGCAGAGGGGTTGTGTGTGGAATAAATCCTTTCTGTGCACTCCTCTGACCTGCAGCTATATGGAGCTATATGGTGTGTGTGTGTGTGTGCATAGGGCTGTATTTGCTGGGTGCAAGCAGTGCCAGATCGAATGCTATGGTGTGGGCTGAGACCTGAAGCAGGTGCAATTTTTTGGGACTCTTCAGTGCTTGCTGTGTGCCTGCTCATCTTTTCCTTGCTGCTTTAATGATCGATGTAGATCTGGAGAGGCTGGGCTGAGCCTTTTCATGGAGAACTGAGATATGCAGGCAGGGAACTGGAGACCTCTGCATCTTCCCTGGGGGTATGCTGTCTGTTACCTTCCCATGGTGGGCTGGGGATCACCTGTGCCTTAGTCTGAACACAGAATCAGAGCAGAACCGGAGCAAAAAGGCAGTCACAGAAATGGGGAAGTCTTCTGGTGCCTACAGTTTCGGTGCTGTCACCAATGCTAAAAGAATTGACCAAGGTCATGCACAGATGTCAAGAGGCAAACCCAAGTGTTCTGCGACCAAGGTAACTTTCTAATTCCTATTTCTTTCTAAAATGCTACGGAAGCATTGAACAAAAATTCCCAAGGGTCTTAGAAACCCTTGGAACGTGTTTCTGGGGTGTTACATCTCCTGGAGCAACGGCACGAGAATTTTCTGCTGATTTCATGAAATGGAAATTTCCTCTTATTGCAGACTGTGGCGATGGTGGGGGGAAGCAGCATCTCCCCTTTGTGTGCTGGGAGCAGCTCCCACGCAGCAGTTTGCGGAGGACGTCCCCTTGGATGGATGGCATCTGGGCTGTGCCCTTACCCTCACGGGGAAGGAATTTGGGGTGGAGCCGGGGGAAAACAATCCCAGCTTCGTAGTGGTGATTAACATGGCCGTTAGATTACGGCACCGGATCAGGTCAGATTAAACAATGAGGTCAGATGAAAAGGAGCCATCTGTGCCTTGCAGCGGGCTGGGATTGCTGTG